ATTTTTTTTATTCTAACATGTCTGCTGCTGAAGAAAAGACTGACAGTTCCTGATCAAATCACAGATGTTTAATAAACTCATTTATTAGAGTCTCAGCTGAGTGATCGCCGACTGGAAGAATATTTTTTCATGATTATGGGTGTGCAACAATACACAATAAAGCGCTATATAAATGCATCATTCATTCATTCATGATGAAAATAACTGTTTTTTATTGGTTACACTAATGTTAAGGGAACGTTGCGTTTTACCATTTTGAAAACATTATAGGAATGTTACTTTTAAATGTTCTCTGAACATTCCGAAACAAGTAGTAACATTTAAAAATGCTTTGAAAAAAAATATTAATGTTACTGGAGGAACGTTTGTTGAAAACTTTGAGAGAACGTTTTAAGAACGTTCCCTGTTAGCTGGGATATTGCTGGAGAAGGATTTACGCATACCTGAAAACCAGGTAACCAATTCTCTCTCTCGCCCTCCTCCACCCCAAACCCCCATTAAACCCTCTGAAACCCCATATCAGCTTCCTTTAGATGTTTCTCCAACACAATTGGGGTAACTGGACTCTTGGCGGAGGCAGTCGGTGCAGATATGAAGTGAGCGTACAATGGTGCATTCATGCTCTCTCTCTCTCTCTCTCTCTCTCTCTCTCTCTCCATCCATTCTTCCCCAGCTGCAGAGGAATCCTGTCCAAGACTTTGCCCCCCACCACACCACTGCCACCCGTCCACCAGCAGAGAGAGAGACGACACAAAAGCAGGATTCATCCCAGAGACGGGGACCCATTTAAGCGTTACGCAGCTGCATCGATTTATTAAAAGATGGGTGGAGAGAAAGAGAGGGTCAGCAGGGGTCACGGACCCCCAGACTTTATTAACCCTCTGAAGATGATGACATGTTAATGAGCTTTAATCATTAATATTCAGCAGAAAGTGGGAGAATGTACAGAATGGAGGGATTGATGAGGAAAAGAGAGAGAAAAAATCTTCCTGCTCCAGAACAAAACAGCTCAATGATGAATTAAAGTTAGTGTACATATTTCCATTCATGTTCATTTGTATAGCACTTTTCACAATACTCAAAGTTTCAAAGGAGCTTCACAGAAATGCATGCTTCAAATGTTACAGTCAAGATAACATCTGAAAGATATTTATTCTATTCATGGATCAAAGTATCTGAATAAATGCAAATGTACATTCCTACACTGACTGTATTTCACAGATGAGTGTATTGAGCAAACCACCTGTCTCACACACACACACACACACACATATA